AAACCCCTACGACATTTTTTCGCAAAAATAAGAATAAAAAACGAAAAAAACAGTTTTTCCGGTTTTTCTAGGAAAATTGGAGGTTATGTGAAAATAGTGTAGATACAAAAGTTGTTCATTTTGTTAATCTCTATAACTTTTATATTTAACATTTTCGTCAAAAATTAATAGTTTTGCCACAATTTGCAAAACACCATTTTCCACTCCTTTCAACCCCCAGGATTTCACCCGCGGAAAAATTCAGCTGTTTTCCCAATTTCTATTCATTTCAACTACGTGAAAAACCCGGTTTCGCCCGGTAGCTAATTTTTTTGAAAATAAATTATTTTAGAGCTATTTAGCCTGGACTAGTCCGATTAGACACGATTTGAGACTGTCAACCTATAAATTAACAAACGTCAATTAATTAATCGTCTAGATATGGCAAAAAAAGCAAAGCTGTTCTTGTTTGTGGACATATAGAAGATAATCAAGTGTAGATAAAGTGAAACAGATGATTGTGGATTGTGTGTGACATCTGTCATTCTTATTCCAAATCCAAATGTCAGGCGGAGCAGGATATAAAATAACGTTCAGAACATATGACAATTTTATATACTTTGGATTAGGTACGCTTTTATCTTCAATCACTACATTGACACGATCAAATGCAAAGAGTTCTTTTAGTTGCGACATCGTAAAAAAGTCCCACTACGGATTTATCAACGCGACTAGCACTTTATGGTACAATATACAGATATCTGTATCAGTATACAATCACCAAGAAAATGTCTCAGAAAAGGCGCGTGGTTTCTTTGGGGCGTCTTGCGGTGTTGATGCAGTCTTGGGTTGTGGGTTGGTCGACATGGCAGTTGTCGTCCTCTCAAACTTAGGTACAAAGTTCTTTGAGTAGTTTCGCAAAAGAGGTTCGTAACACCTTTTTGCGGATGCGGCGATGGAGGAGCCCGTAAACCATGTAGAGTTGTAGTATCTCGCTGATGTCCTCGTCGATCCTTAACGAATATGGCACGTTTCTGGGCGAGGAACAATTCCGTCTTGTCTGCTCCGAAGCGGTCTCGGTAGAGTTAGTGTGCCGGTTTCTTTGGGCCAAATATCTCGAGCAGGAGATGGTGGATCTTTTGACTCCCTGCCA